CCTAGTCACACCACACAGTTATAACACCAAGGATGTTTCTGAATCAGTCCACCATCCCTGCTTCACAAAACTCTGCCTAGAGTACATCTACACCAGGCATGGACAAACCTGGGCCCTCCAGGTGTTTTGGACTTCAACTACCATCATTCCTAACAGCCTTAGACCCTTTCCTATTTCCCCTCAGCTGCTTAAGCAGCTGGTAAGGAAAAGGAAGGGGTCTGAGGCTATTAGGAATGGTGGGAGTTGAAGTCCAAAACACTTGGAGAGCCCACATTTGCTCATGCCTGGTGTAGATACACCCTGCCTCAGCCAACCATATTCTGGATTTCAAAAGCTTTTGGAAAGAGACCCTGGTGCAAATCCAATACATTGCTACAAACAGCTTCCCTAAAGAATGGAAACATAAAATGTGTGGCAAAACTAAAAAGAGTTGTATCATGAAAAGTAGTATTTCTTTAAGACCATTTCCCCACAGGGCAGTTCTTGGTGGGAGTTTATTTTGGCTGGACTCTTTCTTCTTGTGTTTGAAACAGCCCTTCAAGCCAAGGACAGAAGAAAAACATGGAGGGGGTGCTGGCAGCATCAGAAGGCCCCTTTGTTGCTCAGTCTGTTTTCTTTTAGCTTCAGAGTTCGCCTCACTAGCCAGCAGGTAAAGGGAAAAAACCCTCCAGGATGAAGAAGAATGAACCACTTTTCAGTGTAGATGCAGCTCCAATCTTTTCTGCACTGGAAGGTGAACTCCTAAACTCTTTGGAAAGTAAATTCAGATATCTAAGTGGCATTTACTTCTGAGTTAACTTCGGATCAGATATGAGAAGTTTTGGTTCCATGGCTTTCAGAGGGAACTAGATACAATCCTTACTTACTTAGGCGATCCCTCGTTGGACAAGTAAGATGGTCTTCCATTATGGATTTCCTTGTGGGTCCGTATGTGGCTGTGGAGCCCTATTCTTGCTCTGCATCTCACATTTAATCCGGAGATACAATCACACACATTTGTATGGCAGTAACCTCATCTGAACTTGGTGATATTTACCTTTTAGCCAAACATGAAAAGATTATAGTACTAGTAATCTGGATCCATTTAGAGAACAACATGAACTTTGTCTTTTTTAAAAGTCGCCAAATAATTATAATGAAGGGAAACTCAGGGCCTTTCCAGGCAGGCCCTCTGTCCCAGTATCTGATCCCAGGTTTTCTGCTTTAAACTGGATTATATGAGTCCACACTGCCAGATAATCTGGGATAAACAGAAAACCTGGGATCAGATCCTGGGATATGGGGCCTGTCTGGAAGGGCCCTCACCCTCCTAACTGCCCAGTAGTTAATAAGAGTTGAGTTTTACCTCCCACAAAATACTCCTGACAGAAGAAAGTAACCTTTCCCTACAGATGACTATTACTGCAGCCAATGCCAGTATAAAAATCCCCTGGGAAGAAAAAAAGGCCGCTCTATAATTTCATATTTATTTTATTTTCAGTCTGGAGAGTAATTCCACTGAGTTAGTGGCATTTAAGGAACCCCCATGGCACAGTGGGTTAAACCGTTGTGTCAGCAGGACTGGGAGGTTAAGCAGCTGAGGGGGGGGGGGGGAAATAAAGAGTCTGAGGCTGTTAGGAATGGTGGGAGTTGAAGTCCAAAAGACCTGGAGGGCCCACATTTGCCCATGCCTAATTTACGCATTCTTGTCAAGCCCAGTGGTTGCTGTTTATTTGTTCAGTTACTTCCGACTTTTCCTGACCTCATGGATCAGCCCATGCCAGAGCTCCCTGTCTGCCACCAGCTGTGGCCACCCCCAGCTCCTTCAAAGTCAAGCCAGTCACTTCAAGGATAGCATCCATCCATCTTGCCCTTGGTCTTCCCCTCTTCCTTTTTCCTTCCATTTTCCCAGCATCATTTTCTTCTCTAAGCTTTCTTGTCTTCTCATCTGGCCAAAGTATTTCATCCTTGCTTTCTAATATCCTTCCCTCCAGTGAGCAGCTGGGCTTTATTTCCTGGAGTATGGACTGGTTTGATCTTCTTGTAAGTCACTCAGCCTCCCTTATGGTCCAGCTCTCACATCCATAGGTTACTACGGGGAATACCATTGCTTTAACTATGGGTATCTTCATTGCCAGTTTGATGTCTCTACTCTTCACTATTTTATCGAGATGCTCTCCTCCCAAGAAGGAAACCTCTTCTGATTTCCTGGCTGCTGTCCGTGTCTGCAGTAATGTTCTCGCCTAGAAATACAAAGTCTGTCACTGCTTCCATGTTTCTCCCTCTATTTGCCAGTTATCAATCAGTCTGGTTGCAATAATCTTAGGTTTATTTGTGTTTAACTGCAACCCAGCTTTTGCACTTTCTTCTTTCACCTTAGTTAGAAGGCTCCTCGGCTCCTCCTCACTTTCAGCCATTAAAGTGGTATCATCTGCATATCTAAGGTTCTTAATGTTTCTTTCAGCAATTTTAACTCCAGCCTTGGATTCATCAAGCTCCACATGGCATGATGTGTTTTGCATACAAGTTGAATAGGTGAGAGTACACAGCCCTGCCGAACTCTTTTCCCAATCTTGAATCAGTCTGTTGTTCCATGGACAGTTCTCACTGTTGCTACTTGGTCCTTATACAGAATCCTCAGGAGACAGACGAGGTGGCTTGGTATCCCCATCCCACCAAGAAATTGCCGCAATGTATTATGATCCACACAGCCAAAGGCTTTAGAATCTATATATAAAAATAAAAATGTAATGTTCATTTGTGGGATTAACGTAACTCAAAAACCACTGGACGTATTGACACCAAATTTGGACACAATACACTTATCAGGCCAATGAGTGATCATCACTCATAAAAACACTGAAAAACACAGCAGAAGGGACTTAAAAAGCTGAAAAAGCAAAAGGATGCTACAGTGCATGCACAAAATATGACTACCCCTGGCAAATAAAACACACAATAGCATATCCACGCTGTATTCTGGACTACAGCTCCCAGCATTCCCTACACCAGGCCCTATAGGAGAGGAGGATGATCCAAATGCACTGCTTTCAAGCTCCGAGCTTTCTTCTCCTTGGATTTCTTTGAGAGCATCCCAATCCCTGCATATTTCTAATTTCCCATTCCTGGACTGCAACTCCCAGAAATCCTCCAGATAGATAAGATAGATAGATTAGATAGAAATAGGGAGGTAGGTAGATTGATCAGGAGGACTGCTTGGAGTTGCAGTCCAAGAATAGGTTTTATTTTATTTATCATGTCAGGAGCGAACCAAAACAGTTGTATTGCATTAAAAAACAAACAAACAAGAAAACACAAAGTTTGCAGACTTGGCATTCTATTAAATGCCCTTTGACCAGTAGCTGGCCACTTGGAGTGCCTCTGGTGTTGCTGGAAGAAGGTCCTCCATGTGGCGGGGCTCAGGTTGCATTGCAGTAGGTGGTCTGTGGTTTGCTCTTCTCCACACTCACATGTTGTGGATTCCACTTTGTAGCCCCATTTCTTAAGGTTGGCTCTGCATCTCGAGGTGCCAGAGCGCAGCCTGTTCAGCACCTTCCAAGTCACCCAGTTTTCTGTGTGCCCAGGAAGGAGTCTCTCATTTGTTATCAGCCATGGATCAAGGTTCTTGGTTTGAGCCTGCCCCTTTTGGACTCTCGCTTGCTGAGGTGTTCCAAGAATAGGTAGAGAAGCAAGAATGGGTAGAGAAAGAAGAAAGGGGAGAAAGGAGAAAGGAAAGAAAAGGTGGGGAGAAGGAAGGGAAGAGAAAGAGAAAGAGAAGGAAAAAAGGAGAGAAAGGAAGGAAGGAAGGAAAGGGAGGGAAAGTTGGCTACAGCAATGCTTGGCGGGTACAGCTAGTCTATATAAATAAAAATGTAATGTTCATTTGTGGGCTTAACATAACTCAAAAACCACTGGACGAATTGACACCAAATCTGGACACTATAAACGTATCAGGCCAATAAATGACCATCACTCATAATAACAAGGAAAAACACAGCAGAAGAGACTTAAAAAGCAAAAATTACATTACAACGCATGCACAAAACCCCATATATACACAAACACATCTATATACACAAATATATATATACACACACATATATGCACATGTACACAGACTGGGCCACAGCAACGTATGGCAGGGGACTGCTAGTCTATATAAATAAAAATGTATTGTTCGTTTGTGGGATTAATAGAACTCAAAAACCACTGGACGAATTGACACCAAATTTGGACACAAGACACCTAATAAACCAATGTATGTCCTTCACTCAAAAAATTGATTTTGTCATTTGGGAGTTGTAGTTGCTGGGATTTATAGTTCACCTGCAATCAAAGAGCATTCCGAACCCCACCAATGATAGCATTGGGCCAAACTTGGCACACAGAACTCCCATGACCAACATAAAATACTGGAAGGGTTTCCTGGGAATTGATCTTGAATTTTAGAGTTGTAGTTCACCTACATCCAGAGACCACTGTGGACTCAAACAATGATGGATCTGGACCAAATTCTACACGAATACTCAATATGCCCAAATGTGAACACTGGTGGAGTTTGGGGAAAATGGAATCTTGACATTTGAGAGTTGTAGTTGCTGGGATTTGTAGTTCACCTACAATCACAGAGCATTCTGAACCCCACCAACGACAGAATTGGGCCAAACCTCCCACACAGAACCCCCATCACCACCAGAGTGGGCCACAGCAACGCCTGGCAGGGGACGGCTGGTAGTCAATAAAACAGAAATAGATATTTTTCTGAAACTCGCGGCCTTTCTGTATTATCCAGCGGATATTGACACTTTAGTCTCTTGTTCCTCTGCCTTTTCTGAACCCAACTTGTTCATCTGGCAACTCTGGCAACTCTCGCTCCTTGTCAATCCCAGACTTCACCACAATGCTCTGATTGAGGACCCGCTTTTGCAGAGCCCCTTGGGATGCGCTCAGAACCTTGTCTCCGCCCACAGAGAACCCTATTGGCTGCCGCGGGATGACGTATGAGGAAGTGGTTAGGAAAACATCCGCTTGAGGAAGAGGAACAATACATTGTATCCAGGGCCGGCATGGATTCGGCTCCGGCTGAGCTGCCGGTGGCCTTGACGGCGATGCGCCACTCCACACTGGCGGCTAGTGCGGCGATGTTTCCACCCAAGCGCCGGTCCCCCCCACGCCCCCCGCGGGCTGCCCTCGAGGCGCAGGATCCCGTGCGTGTCCTCTACCGGAGGAGCAGCGGGAAGCGGGCGGCGGTGAGGCTGATGGCGGCGGCGCACCTGGAGACCCTGAGCACGCTGGCCAACCTCATGACCATCCCGCGGACGCCCCGCCGCTGGTGGGTCTACCCCAACGAGAGCGACTGGTGGGAGCGGTTCTCCCTCCACGAGGAGGACGACCGCCAGTGGGTCCACTACTTCCGCCTCCCCCGCGAGACCTTCCAGAAGGTGGTGGCCGCCCTGGCCCCCGAGGTGGCCAAAGGGGACACTCAGATGAGGAGGGCCATCCCCGTGCAGAAGAGGGTGGCCATCGGCATCTGGATGCTGGCCAACCAGTGCTCCTACCGCAAGACCGCCCAGCACTTCGGCGTGGGCAGAGCCACCGTGGGGAACATCTTCCTCACCGTCGTCCTGGCCATGGAGATGAGCCTCTTGCCCCGCATCGTCCGCCTTGGGGACGCCCACGAGGTCGGTAGGGGGCCCCCCTTCACTCCCACCCACCCATATTGACAGTATTTATATTGAGCTCTTCTCACCCCGCAGGGGACTCAGGGCGGATTACAATACACATATACATGGGAAACATTCAATGCCATTTAGACATACAACATATATATATAGACAGACACAGAGGCGATATAACATTCCAGCTTTTCCAGCTTCACCACCCACTTGTGACACTGTGTCTTTTGATGGAGTACTTCCTCATTCTTATGCACACTTTATGTTTTATGGTGTCATAAATTAGTTAAGCCCCCAGTGGCACAGTGGGTTAAAGCGCTGAGCTGCTGAGCATGTTGACCAAAAGGTTGCAAGTTCGAATCCAGGGGAGCTTCGTGAATTTCTGCTGTCAGCCCCAGCTTCTGCCAACCTAGCAGTTCGAAAACATGCTAATGTGAGTAGATCAATAGGTACCACTCCGGCAGGAAGGTGCTCCATGCAGTCATTCCAACCACATGACCTTGGAGGTGTCTACGGACAACGCCGGCTCTTCAGCTTAGAAATGTTATATAATAGTGCCTCATCACACTAGAGCATGGATCCACCATAAATCTTGAATTCTGGGGTTTGTAGTTTAGTGAGGCCCAGGACCCGCCCTCCCTAAACTACTACATGCCCCAGAATTCTGCAGGAGGCAGAAACTGGATTTAAAATGGATCCATTCTCTAATGTGATTAAGTCCTAATTTGGTTATGTGGTCAGTGATATTAACTAGGCTGGCATTATATGAGTTTACACTCCTATTTAATCTAGTTCAAAGCAGATGATCTGGATTTTATATAGCAGTGTAAATAAGGCCACAGTTCCAAAGCACGCATACAGAGGAGGCACAGATCCCACTTACATTCCACATCTGCAGTGCTGTAAACAACATAGCAACTCTCTTTGCATGCCACCAGATCCTAACAGCACTCATCATTTCCCCATGAGATAGGTTGTGCAACCATATACCATGGGAATGTGGTTCCCTGTGGCCCATGTATGAGGCCATTGTGGCATGTTTGTTTTGCATGTTTGTTTTGATGAGCTATAACAGGCATAGGCCAACTTTGGCCTTCCAGGTGTTTTGGAATCATGGGAGTTGAAGGCCAAAACACCTGGAGGGGTGTAGTTTTCCCATGTGTGAACCTGTCCAGAGAAGAAGCTTGGAGAAAAGAATAATTCATATTATGTTTGTTTATTTCCCACTTTTTCTCTCCACAAAGGAGATTCAAAGCAGCTTCCGCTAAAAAGCATTTTAATACAATTTAAAATCTACAAATATACAAACATGAAAACAGAATTAAATATCAATGGCATTAAAAATTCAGTTAAAATTCATAAATATAAATTACAAATATTTATTATATTTATATTCTGTCTTTCTCAACCTCGAAGGGGACTCAAGGCGGCTTACAGGTAGATAACAATTCAGTGTCTGTACAATTAAAATAAAAATTTAGATTAAAATTAAGATCAAAATTAAATAACTTAAATACATTTAAACATTACAATCACTATTAAAACCACACCATCCACAATCATAATCCAGGCCATTCCAATAGTCATTGCACATAATTCCAAGTTCATGTATTGCACTACAATTGTTCTCCAAAGGCTTCATCCGAAAGCTATGTTTTCACTCTCTTGTGGAAGGTCAGGAGCGAGAGGGCTGACCTAATATCACTGGAGAGGGAGTTCCACAGCCAAGGGGCTACCATTGAGAAGACCCTGTCTCTTGTCCCACCAGTTGTGCCTGCGAAGGTGGCAGGACTGAGAGCAGGGCCTCTCCTGATGATCTTCATCTCCGAGATGGTTCATAGGGGGTGATACGTTCAGATAGGTAAAGCTGAAGCACCACACACATACACCCCAACTTGATCTTCTTTAAAGGCCTGAATAAAAAGACCTTAGTCAGAGAAGGGGACACGAGAGCCTTGAGGAGGGAGCAGGCTTGTTTTCTGCTGTCCTGGAGATTAGGACATGGAACAATGGATTCAAATTACCAGAAAAAAAGATTCCACCTAAACATTAGAAAGAACTTCTTGACAGTAAGAGCTGTTTGGCACTGGACTATGCTGCTTCGGGGTGTGAGAAAGAGTCTCCTTCTCTGGAGGTATTTCAGCAGAGGCTGGGTGGCCATCTGTCAGGAGTGCTTTCATTGTGTGTTCAGGCATTGGCGAGGTGGATGGCCCTTGTGGTCTCTTCAAACTCTATGATTCTATGTTAATTGTCAAATCCTTCTCCCCTCCCCCCCCCATCCCCTCCCTCTTCCTGGCTGCAGATCATGGCTGGATTCGCTGAGCTGGGATTCCCTCAGGTGGTGGGTGCTGTGGATGGGTGCCACTGTGCGATTGTGTCACCTGTGAGGCAAGGAGGACATTTCAGCAACAGGAAGCACGCATATTCCGTCCTGCTGCAGGGTGTTACGGACCACACAGGACGCTTCATCAACATAGAGATTGGCCAGAGCGGGAACAACTTGGATGCGAAAGTGATCCAGAACTCTGCCATCTTTGAGAAGATGGAGGCAGGGGTCTTTGTGCCAGGCAACCCTACCATCACTGTGGGGGACACACAGATTGGGCCACTGCTGCTGTCAGACAGCAGCTACCCCATCAGGAAGTGGATGATGAAGCCGTACTCCGGAGAACTGACAAAAAAGCAGGTGCTCTTCAACAGGCGCCTGAATCATGCCAAGGCGGTGGTCGAGATGGCATTTGTACGCCTTAAAGGGAGATGGCAATGTCTCACAGCACCTCTTGAGGTGTCCGAAGAGAATGTGCCCTCAGTCATTGCTGCTTGTGTGATCCTGCACAATATCTGTGAGACCAATGGGAGAGCACTGGATGACATCAAGGTGCCCCAACCTGTGATTCCCAGTCAGGCAGAACCCATGCAGGCCAATGCGGAGCAGAAGAAAACAGAGGGGGAAGCAGTGCGAGGTGCCCTGACGGACTGTTTCTGGACAGAGGAAATGTGATCCCTCATATCTCTCCAGACCATGCTTCATATATGCAGCCTGTAATGCCATCCATACCAAGTAAAATGCATTATGAGGTCACTATAAGTCAGAAATATCTTGAAGATATGCAACAACAACAACAACAACCACATCAAACAGAAAAATTAATGTTGCGCGCGCTCTCTCTCTCTCCATGCTGACTGCTGAAAACTGAAGTCCAAAACAGCAAATTTTCATGAGGACAGGATTGGGAACTAGGAAATTAATGGGGATCTGTACCTTGAACAGACGTGGGTAAGATGTGAAGGCACAAACAGCAAAGATTTAAGCAGGCCTCACTTCATTCACTTTGGCCCTTCACAATTATATCTCTATGACTCCAATTTGACTATCATAGATGCATCCTATGGAATCCATGGATATACAGTGTTGTTGTGTAACTTCAAGCAATTTCTGGCTTATGCCCACTATATAGGATATTGGAAGTGAAGAAGCACCAATGCTTGTATATAGAGCTATTGAGAGCAGAGAGAACCCCGTGGTGCACACCTGCTTTCATGTTTTTCCCTTCTTTTCTTATACATTTGTAACTGAAGGTGTTTTGCTTCTAGCCTTCTTCCATTTCCTTCCCAGAAGTTTTGTGTGCTTTTCCACTCTTTGCGTGAGAATGAAGCAGGGTGAGGCTTTTCTGCCTCGAGATGGCTGGCATATAGACATGAAACTTATCATTAGAACACTTGTACTAAAGTTAAGTAGTTTTTCTTTTGCATATATAATAATTTTATATGTTATTTATTATCTGAAAATAATAAAGTAAGTTTTTTTACCTTTTTAGACCTTTACAGAGCATTCTGCGTGTTTTCTCTCCCGTTTCCTTCAGTAATCTTATGTATGCTGCACTCTGCTGTAAATATCAAATATTCCTACAAGATAACCTATCATGGGATTTTCCAGGCAAGAATTGTTCAGAGGGGTTTCTGCCCATGTTTTCCTTTATGGATGAGAGAATGTGACTTGTCCAAATCAGTCTAGTTTTCTGTACCTGAATAGGGATTTGAATCATGGTCTTTCAAAGTCTTAGCCTAACGCTCAAACCATCCTGGCTCTATGTCTAGGAATAGCTATTTCAACTCTTCAGACAAAGAGTTCTGCTAGTGCAGTGGTTCTCAACCTGTGGGTCCCCAGATGTTGTGGCCTTCAACTCCCAGAAATCCTAACAGCTGGTAAACTGGTTGGGATTTCTGGGAATTGTAGGCCAAAACACCTGGGGACCCACAGGTGGAGAACCACTGTGCTAGTGCCTCACCAAACTACAGACCTCACACAGGATTCCACCATGGCAATAAGAGTGGAATCACTCTTCCTAACAATCCTACACAGACTTGACCCTTGGGTTTAAGATTGGGATGGGCTCAAAAACTTGGGAATCATTGGCGTGTTGAGTGCATGAGTGACGTGTCTGTAGACTTTGCCAATGCCTTCAGTGGAGAAGGAAAGGTCACCTTGGTAGCCAGTGAAGGAGGGGCTCACATTCTTTTGGGGCTGTGTTTATATAGCATGCTGGGCTTTATAAATGGTTGCTCAGCTCAGAGGAGCCTGATAAGAGCAGGCTTCACTGGAAACTCCACAGGCCCAGAGTCGGCTCCCCTTTCGATGCACAAATCCAGGGTTATCAAGGCCATCCAATGATATAAGTATTTCCACTCTCAGAAGACCTTACCCAGGGCTGGATTGAAAGCAAATGGAAACAGGGTGTGGATGTGGGAGGGTTTCTTGACCTGCCTTACTATTCTTGTTCTCTTGACTACCTTTCTTTTTTCTTTTTCTTTTTTAAAAAAGCCAGATTTTTCACAAGGGAAAGCAAATTCAAGAAAGCAAATACAGCTATAAGAACAATAGCAAAAATTGGACATGGATAAGGGTCCTCTTTGTCTGTCTTTTGCTGTGACTTAATACTTGAGTGTATTCCCAAGCGAACAACTTTATTGTTATTTCATTTCCAATTTAATGGGCTATTCCTGGAAACTGAGCAGAAACTTCCAAGGTAGTAGTAGTAGTAGTAGTAGTAATAATAATTTGTTTATAATTTGCCCTCTCTTCTCAAGGGCTCAAAGATTAATGGATTTACTTTTGCACTTGTCCCTTTGAGTCTGGTTTTCTTTCCCAAGGCCAGTCATTACCACATGGCCATCCCTATCCATGTTTCTACGAAACCTTCCTTTTCCACTAAGCACACTGACTGGGGTATGATGGGACTTTTCCAAATCCTGGCTAGAATTCTGTAGTCTGCCTCTCCAAACCATTAGAAAGTGTCTGTGTCATTTAGCATTGCTGCTTTCCTCCAGGTCTTCTGCACAGAATGTTAGGTTTAATCCTTTGTGTTGTTTCTTGGGCAGAAGTTTCATTAAATGCAATGGAGCTGGTTTACAGTTCCAAATTTCAGTGCCTATTCTGGATTTTTCAAAACACTCCAAATTTGGAAGGCTGTGTTTATCTCAGAGATTGGGAATGGCTTTTATAAAATATAATTCCCAGAATGACAGCCATCATGGCTATGGGGATCTTGAGAACAGTAGTCATCAGAAGTCTCTTTCTCAAGTTCTGCCTCTTTAGCTTTAATAGGTTGCAAATCCAGCTCACTTCTATTATAATTCACTGGCTTTTTTTGGAAAATGGCAATTAAAAAAACCATTTGGAAAAACCAGGAATCTCCACAGGATTTTAGAAGTATGACTCTTTTGGAGATTAATTGACAATTCACACTATTTGGAATAATCATAAGCTTTGGAAAGGCATGGCCTTGTTAAAAATCATAAGCTTTTGTAAAGTATGATCTTCCTGAGAAAAGTTAAAAACTTGCATGAGTCAACCTTCTCCTTAGGGCTAAATATCCACTAGTATTCATGCAAGGCAATTAGGTTTCTACTGTTAGACTGAGAATCTAGATATCTCTTTGAACTGTTAGGAACAAAGATATGCCAATGCATGTGCATGCACACACACACACATATCAGAGTTTCAGAAGTATTCTTTTCAGTTGTCCCAAAACATCTACTTTTCCTTTAAAACATCTTGGTTTAAATTATGCTATCAAGAGACCAAAAGTAAAGTAGCCTTCTTTAAAACAACATAGTTGGTTTACTCACAAACTTCATGTATTCAGCATACAGGTACATTGCATATCAATCCAGTTACAGATAGGATTTGAAGTACTTTCTCTGTGTAACATGGGGCATCATTCTTATAATCAACAGTCCAAAGTCTAAAGCATCTCTCTGTTCTGAGAGTCTATTAGAGTCTGTGTACAGTGTGTTTCTACTGGCGTCTGTAAAGCATACTGTTTCTAAAACTTCTAAAATGCAGTCTGAGCCCTGAACAAGCCCAGTTCTGATCACTTGGTCTGCAGCCCTGCCCACAACATAGAGATAGGGAAAACTGCATACCATATACAATACAGTAAACAATCCAAATTATATACGAACAAATAACTAGTGGAGGCTTGAAGAAGGTTGCTATTTCCAACAGACATTTGCTAAAGCATATAAGTGTTCTAGTTTATAACATTAACCTCTTCCATTATAACACCCATACTTCTTTGGAGAAAGTTAGTTCTGGTCAACTAAGGTGCCTGGTATATGTTTCCAAGGCAAGTAACTCAACATACCCAGCAAAATATTTTAGGATAACATGGTGACCATGCCTTTGAGATGCCTTTTGACGTTGTAATCCATGCTGGTGAGAGAAGTCCTCCATCTTCAAAAATTATGAAAGTCAAATTCTCCCATGTACATTTAGAAATCACTCCATTGTCTTCATTCTTATGGTAAATATATTGTTGGTAGTGAGCAAACCATGAGATTTCAAATTAATTTTTTTCGGAACACATTAAAATGTCAAATCTGTATTTTTGGTCTCATTTTTTTCTGATTGCCATATCAATTAGTCACGCACTATGCTCTTTCCTCCTGATTGAAAACAAACACTGAACAATGGAAACAGCTCTACTCTGTTATCCCCCAAGTGAATTACCCAATCATTGCTATAAAAAGGAGTGGGGAACTATTATTGACTACTGACTTCATCTTCTTGTATATTGGGAATATGCATTGTTCTGTACTTTCAAGTCAGCCCCAGTTTATGGTGATACTATCTTGGCAAGTGGGCTGCTGTGAGTTTTCTGGGCTGTATGGCCATGTTCCAGCAGCATTCTCTCCTAACGTTTTGCCTGCATCTGTGGCTGGCATCTTCAGAGGTTCTGCAAGCGAAATGTTAGGAAAGAGTGCTGCTGGAACATGGCCATACCCTCCCCCCCCCCCCCCCCCCCCCAAAAAAAAAAAACAACCTCACAGCAACCCAGTGATTCCAGCCATGCAAGCCTTCGACAATATCCTGGCAAGCTTTGTTTGGAAAAGGTATGCTGCTGCTTTCCTCTGGGGCTGAGAGTATATGACTTGCCCAAGGTAACCCAGTGTTTCCATGTCTGAGCAGGTATCCAAACCCTGATTCCCCCAAAGTCCTAATCCACCACTCAAACCTCTACATCCCACGGGCTCTCTAGGAGGGAGTCATGCGATATATTGCCCATTGACTTATGGCAATCTAATGAATTTCATCAGGTTCTCTTAAGCAACGAATACTCATATGCAAATAATTCAGAGGCAATTCAGGCTTGCTTCATGCAACCACTGAGATCCTAAACAAAGTAACACAGCAATACCACCATCATTACCGCAGCACCATTACTTATTGTTGCAGCAGAGGGCTGCTTCTTAGACCTGTCACCATTATGGCATTCATCATTTCTGTCATTCTCTCCCCTTCTGGCTACACAGACACTGCACAACACAAAATGGACATCACACAGGACCCAATCTTTATGTGACAAGTTCCTCCTCTGCTTATCTATACATAGGGGAGATCCCTCCCCAACCACCCCCACCCCCACCCCCAATTACCTTAGTGTATTTAGCTACTAGAGCTGTTTGAAACTGGAGGTGAGTCACATTTTAGGAATGATATCAGCTCTATCTTTATCTCTCAATTTGGAAACCTTGTGAATATGACTGTCATTGTGGGAGTCATCATGCTCCACTAAATGAGTGAGGGTTTGGCTGTTGCTCATGTGGATTGGGTTTTCTGTTTTGTTTAAAAATATACAACATTTTTTTAAATCCAGCTTTGTCAAAGAGCTACCATGGTGTAGTGGTCTGGATCATGACTCAATACCACAGTTAAAAGCTCTTCTGGGTGACCTTGGGTAAGTCACATTCTCTCAGCCTCAGAGGAAGACAAAGGCAAAATCTCTCTGAACAAATCTTGTTATAGGTTTGCTTTAGGGTCACTATAGGTTGGAAACTATTTGAAGCTGCACAACAACAAAGCTAATTTTTGTGTGTCAGGAGTGACTTCAAAAACTGCAAGTTGCTAGTGTCTGCAAGGACATTACCCAGGGGGTGTCTGGATGTTTTGATGTTTTACCATCCTTGTGGGAGGCTTCTCTCATGTCCCCACATGGGGAGCTGGAGCTGACAGAAGGAGCTCAACTTGCTCTCCCCAGATTTGAACTTCTGACCTGTTGGTCAGCTGTCCTGCCGGCACAAAGCTATTACAAACTT